GATATTGCTTGTTATCCAACAGGGAAACCTTTGTGCTTATTCTTATATGGTTACTGTGTGCAATTTGCATGTCCTTGTAGGCCCTTGTACTTTTAATCCAAGGTTCACTATCATACCAAAAGAGCATCCGTTTCAACGTACTCAGATACCTTCAAATTAATGAATTCATCCTTAAACTATGTAGTATAATAAGCGTGTAATAAGCAATCGTTGGTTAATATTTGTGAAGTTGATGCTATTTACATATATAGTGTGAGATATATTTAATTTTATTAAAATTATTTTAAAGGCGCAAAGAATGAAAGAAGAAGGAAGGAGAAACTTGTATAAATGGAACAATGTGATGTTGTGGACGCTATAAATCGATTCGTGAAAGTTTACGCATGTGCAAGTAGTTGCGTAATATGTTCAAAAATATTTAAAAAATATTTAAAAACTGTAATATATCGATGTCATTTGTTACTAATTCTGCAATCTCTGCCTTATCAATACAGCACAAATGTTCAAAAGACGTGCTGGAGATGTCCTAGAGATATTCGAATATTTTTGGTACGTTCCTACGATTTCTGTTTAACATTTGTTTTGCATTGGAATATCGCTCTTGCTGCTATTTCATTGTCAGGCTTGTAAATTAAAAGACATTATCTCAAAGAAATACCTTTTGAATGCTAAATATGGTGTATGACTGTTTCCTCCTATGATAATTGGTTTGAGGAAGTCGTCGAACGTGTAATTGTACATAGAACCCAATATAATAGCCAAGATAATCGAGAAATAATGCCTGCGCACAAACTTTTGTCCTCTGTGATATTTATCTGGATCCATCCATTCAGGTAACACATTTAGTGATCGGTTGAAATCGAGTAAACGTGTGGCAGCCGGGATCAGATTTTGTAAAGATTCTGGCACGTTTTTATATAAATTTGTCATATTGTGATACATCCAGTCACTTTGTTCTTGCGCTGTCCAATCATCGAAGTTGCATGGGAATTCAATATCGTCATATACACGCTGCATTTTCTGTAACTATTCATCATCAGTAGTGTTTTTCAAATCAACATTGAAAAAAGGTATCCTTTAGTACATAATTAACATTCGTGTTTTCATTGAAGCCAATTGAATTTATCCTTAAAATACTGGCAATAAACTAACGTACAAATCACAAATACATCGCGACGCGAAACCAGACGTAGCTTTATATATATGAGAAACGTGAAAACAAGATAAACTTGTCCATAAAAATTAATGTTTTCTATTTACATTTCAGAAAAACTTGCATACATT